ACCATAAAAAAATTCTAGAAAGAAGTATGGTTTTTCATGAACCCATTTTCATTTTAAATTGATAATAAAAAATGGGGAAATACGTTTTTATCTTTTATTTATTTCTTTTAATTCGTGTGCATGTGGTGTACACCGGAAAACGATAATATTATTGATATTTGATATTGAAATCTAAATAAATGTAAGTATGAAATTCATCCTTTATCAATCGATTGATGCAAGAAACTTTAATCAAGCAAATAAAGGATACATTAAACCGTTAAGAAGCCGTCCTGTATACATCTGAACGATGGAAAAAAGCTTAACCGTTAAGGGGCCACCTGTACATTCATTAAACCAACATATGTACGAGTTGAACAAGAACCTCTTGTTCTAAAACGAGTGCTTATTAAAAAAAAGCCGTTATCAAAATTATCTTGACACAAAATAAATATTGTGCAGAAAGTTTTACAAAAGAAATTCTTAAACGTTTTAATTTAGACTTGAAAAGAGTTCTTGAAAACTACTTAGGATTAGTTTAAAAAGACGATACGAGATCTAGATTTTCTAGAATGAACTCGAAGGGAATGTGAACAACATTATAGAGAGAGGGAAAGAGAGTGCGGAATTCCGCAAGCCGGTCCTGGCAATTAAAGTTCAAACGCCGGCTCCGCGGTCGGTATTATCGTGACCACCGGAGTGCGCTTAGACAGTGAACGGAGGAATGCTGTTCGACGGAGAGATGATGCCCCGGTGCGTAACCTCGTTTCGAAATGTGTTAGTTGTTCAGAGAGGTTAGTTACCTGAAGCGAGAACTTCACACAACCAAACTTTATTAACACATCCACATTAATAATTACTAATTTGAAAATCTTAATTAGATTACTACACGGAAATTTTTTCAAAAATACATCACAATCTAACGTCATATTTAAGAAGTGTTGACAATCTTGATTTCTTTATCTTAATCATTTTTAGGTACTACTATACGTGACAAAAGTCAAACCCATCACTTTAGAGATCGATATCTACAAAATTCTACATTTCTACATAAATATTATATTTCGCGGAATATCGCGGTTTAGAGGTTAAGGTTGTGTCGAAAACGGTTGGGTTTTCCATCCAATCCTGCTGGTGCTCTAGACTGGACGTCGCGCCTTTATTTCTTTATGCAGGTAAAATAAAGGCGCGACGTCCAGTCTGGAACACACACCACCACCATCTTTTCCGATTGGACGAAATCGCCCCGCATGGCTTCTTGGAGACATCGTCTTTCTCTTCCTCGACGTGCCCCTAAATTGGCGTTGAGGGATCTTTTGAAATTTTTCCTCTCCCAGCAAAATTTGCTGCTGCATAGCCTTCCCTAGGCTAGCCACAATCTGCGTCACAACCTCACCCGCATGGGCCTGCTTTACGCTTTGGCCATCACGTACTTCCGTGGACTCCACCACCTCTCCTTTAGAGTTTCTGACCACTCAAGTACAGCTTGTTGCAATTTCCTCTCCGCGTCTGCGATGAGGACTACATCTTCTGCATATATTAGAGCATGGCATACATGTACTTATCGACTTACAACGACTCAACCTCAGCACAACTTAACATCAAATCTACGAACAATTTACGAAGCAAGTTTAATCGAAGTTTCAATACACAAAAACTCCGAATCGTTGAAAACCGTCAGAATCAATTCCAGAAAAACTTTACTGAATGCTTCGACTCTATAAAAATAGTTCCTTTGTAATGAGAAAGTGTTTCAAAAGGAAAGATGAACAAGAAAAGGATAATAAATAATTTTTTTATGTATATGTATATTCAATTAGCATTTACTACACAAACCCTGGGATTCCTTGCTGCACACCTTTCTTGTGCGAGCAAATCATTGCAGTCGAAAATACTGTTATCTAAGCTTTATTTGTTAGTCTGGCAAATGAAGCAGTTTTTAACGCACATCTACCCATCAGCACGTTAGTGGAATCGGTAAAAGGTATAAAGCTAGATGCTGAGGATATTTTGGTGAGTTTCGATGTGGAATCCCTTTTTACTAGGGTACCAGTTAAGGATGCTGTAGATGGTCTCCGCCAAAATCTCGTTCTGGAGGGAATGATCCGAATTCGTCAGAATACGTGCCTAAATATTGAAATGATCTTAAGAAGAATCAAAAATGCTTTAATTTGATACCAAACATGATATATTTGAGAAATATAGGAAAGTTAGGTTAGAATTTGTCAAATATTAAAATTAAATATAACCATTTTTTGATAAATATTGAAATGATCTTGATAAGAATCCAAACTGCTTTAATTTGATACCAAACATGACATATTTGGGTTAAAAAATAAAAAAGTTAGGTTATAATCTGTCAAATGTCAAATAATCGCCATTTTTTTTTTGCAGAAAATTAAGATAACTCGATAACGGTTGGAGATAAATAAGTCGAGTTTGGGTTCATTTTAAAGGATTTTTAATTTTCTATCCGTTGATGTTAAAAAAAGAAGAGCTTTATAACTAAAAAAAAAAATCTGAATAATCCTTATTAAGAAAAAAACACGATTTCATCCTGCTAATCCGATAAATTTGGTTATGTCCGACTACTCGAGCGTGCTTGGCCGAATTCGGTTTCTTCTTTCGGATCTTAGTAAGAATAAAAAATGCTTTAATTTGATATCAAACATGATATATTTGGGTTAAAAAATAGACAAGTTAGGTTATAAACTGTTTAATGTCTAGTGGAGTGCTGTTTATCATCGACGTATTTCAGCTGGAAGGAAGAATTTTACGAGCAGTTCGAAGGGGCAGCCATGGGATCTCCATTATCGCCAGTTATAGCGAATTTCTACATGGAATTATTCGAAGAAGACGCTTTGAAGAAGAGCCAGTGGAAACCAAAACTATGGCTCCGATATGTGGATGACACGTTTGTAATATGGCAACATGGTAAAAAACGGCTCCAAGAGTTCTTGGATCACTTGAACGCTCAACATCCGATGATTAAGTTTACCATGGAAACAGAAATTGCTAAAAAACTGCCTTTCCTAGATGTGTTGGTCACCAGGATATCACCAGGTATCTGCAGGCATCATCACATCATCATCCCCAACAGAAGAAGTCCGTGATCCGTATTTTATTTCAACGAGCAGCGAGAATATGTGAAGCAGATAACTTGAAGAAGGAGCAACGCTTTCTACGAGGCGTGCTGCAGGAGAACGGACATTTCGACGGCCATCAAGCAGCGAAAGCAGAAAGAGGGCGCGGTAAGTACAAAACCACTTGGATTTATTTCTTCCTTATGTTTCAGGTGTGACGGAACGAGTTTCCAGGCACCTCAAGGAAAACGACATCGTGGTGCGATACGGGATGATCAGCAAGATTCGGAACACACTCCCAATAGCCAAGGACAAACTAACTCCATTAAAAGGAGCGGAAGTCTGCCGACTATCGTGTAGTTGTGGGAAGGTTTACGTTGGCCAAACTGAACGCAACGTCAAGTGCCGCATCAAAGAGCATGAAAGGGATGTAAGGTTGAAGAAGATCCAGCAATCGGCGGTTGCGGAACATTGCCATGCGCCGAATAGACTTCGAACAAACAAAGGTACTGGGTAGGGACAACAGATATTACCAAAGACTGACAAGAGAAGCCATAGAAATCCATCGACATAGAAATAATGTCAACAAAAAGGATGGAAACGTGAAATCTTCTCTTAAAAGACGCACGGCAAAACCCGAAAGTTTCTAGTTTTAGTTCAATTAACACCGGCCGTGAAAGCCTTCGTAGTTATACGTAGTGGAAGCTTTGGTAAAGAATCAAAGTTTAAGTAAATTAGCCCGTCTGGTGGATTGTCGTGCCCAGATATCGATAGCTGCTGACCTAGGTGAGAAGTTGACTATCGTATTTGATGTAGATGTTATTCACCTGTTCGTCTGTCCTCGTCATCACCATAACTTGACTCTTCACTTTGTTTTCACCTATCTCCTTTAGAGTTTCTGACCACTCGAATACAGCTTGTTGCAATTTCCTCTTCAATTATGGAGATTGAATCATCTGCATATATCAGAGCGTGGCACATGATCGGTCTGAGGTTGAGCTACAAATAGCAATGAGAATAAATCGTCCTTTTTCCATGACGAACATGCTAAACTCGCTGGAACATGGATCTGATGGCCTGCATTAATTGTGTTCTTATCTAGTGCTTTCCAAACCTCTTGCTTTGGTACTTCATCAAACGCAGAGTGCATATCCAAGAAAGCCAGTATGAAAATTTTCCTTTTCTGATCCACTAATCAGTTATACAGCGCAAGGAGAAAATGGGATCTTGTTGGCAATCTCATCCAGTTCTTCATCAATGCAAGTCGTTAGGCGCCTCTCCTTGATTCTGGAGTATAACTTTGCAATGACATTAATGAGTCATATTGACGAGTTTGCAAAATTTTTGGATAAGATTAAATCGATTTCTTCGAAATCAGAAATGGCAAATTTAAATAACGCGATTTTTTATTACGATCTTAATAAATTAGCAATTTTTCAAGGTGCCCACTATGATATTAAAAAAGAACATTTAAATTAGCAAAACCAACGTTGAAGTGGAAGGTCAACTAAAGAATCTTTGTGTACTCCTTGCTCAACTGATTAAGACTTAAGACACTTCATCTTCAAACCAAATGAGATTCATTACAAAATCAAATTACAAACTACAGCAATGCTTTAACATAAACTTTAAAGTATAAAAATTCATGGTTTTAATGTAACGTGTTAAATGAGAAATGTTATATTTTTGATTTAAAATATATCTGAAAACTTTAAAGTTGTATTAATCAACTTTTACTAAATCCGGCACTGTCTCTAAGCAACCAACTCAGTTGCCACATAGAAAATGCCACCACGAACCACACGAAGATATAAAAAAACAAAATTAAAAAGAAAAAGTAAAGCCAAGTGGCGAAATCAACTCGAAAACTTTAAATCAACTTTTTTTTTAAATTTCTTAATTAATTATAAATAAATAAATCAAATAAGAAAAACTTACCAAAATTTAAACAAAAACTGTACACACCAACAACAATAAAAACTCTTCAGTAACAAAATCGTTAAAGGTGAGTGAAACAATCACAACGGCGAAGTTAACACAATGATTTCCGGCCGGTTCAATTCAAAACTATTGAAAACAATAGCAACAAGTTGTCGTCGATTAATAAGTCCAACAGGAATTAAAAAAGTAAGAAACTGTAGACGCGTCAACGCCGCACAAGGTTCGAAGACTGACTGAATATAGAGGTGGACGGAACAAGTGAATAAACGTCGAGGTGCGATTGTCTGGACGGCAGCAGCGACGCGCGGCGGCCGTTCGAGATTACTGCCGCCTCTGTGGTCGGTGCTGCCCCGGCTGGCTAGATGGGTTCTCTTGGCTTCTCGGCCCACCGCGATCGAAAATGAGCGGAAACGGCTGCCGACGTTTTCGCTCCGGTGAATTTGACGCGCTCGTTTCCTTATTCTAACATCAAGTTGGCCGCGAAACATAACTTGTATAACCAACACCTACTTGAGACTATTTTTGCTTATACCCTACGATTCACTTTATAACAATAATAAAATACCATTTATGTTATAAATTGTACTATTACTTTTAGAAAGTTTTTTCTAATGGATTCTAAAGATTGATAGTACTTATTTTCTATTGTTATTTGAAGATGTTTTAATAGTATCCTGATTGCTTCCTCTTTAGTTGAGGTTAGACGTTAGTGTTACTGTCTGCATTATAAATAGTTTTCTTTTCATTGTAGTAATAAACGTTGTGTTGTGTTTCGTATTTTCAATGAAAAAAACTTTAGAAAGCATCCGTGGGACGATAATAACAAAGCTATCAAGAAGAAACTTTTACCCACTTGTTCCAACTACCCATATCTTCGTTATCTTTGGAGATAACTAAATGTTAAATATACCTGATTTTTCCTTCATCTAAAACTTGAATTTTTACGTAGTCATCTCACATTACAAAGGTTTTGATCATGAACATCTGCTTTTGATAAGCTCTAACAATTGGATCACGTTATACATCACTTGACTAAGCGACAAATGTATAATGTTGAGAAAAACGGGATTTTTGTTTTCATCTCTCTAAAAATATAAGACTTCTCAGAATAGACAGGCTCAAACTATTAAACATTGTTTGGTGGCTGTCCATTTTTATCACAGAACACTGATGACAGCTATCACAAGCACAGAAGTCGCTTGGTCACTCGTTACGTTTTACGATTATACAGGCTGTTTTTGTAAGTCGTGGCATAAATTTAATCACTAAAACTAGAGACAAAATGATGACGATACGTGTAAAAAATTTTGAAGAAAATAATCCAAGTTTGATTTTGTACTTTTAAACTGGTTTTTATTTTATATAGAATTTAAGTCTAACCAGTTTCGGCCCTTGGTCATCCTCAGAGGCTCTACAAATAGATTAACATCTCTCATTCTATCCATTTTGCAAACAAGTTTCTTAATATTTATTTTTCTTTTGTTAAAAAAGTTCACATATCAAAGTCAAAATCAGATTATTAGTTACTAATTTACAAAATTAAAGTTTAAAAAGTTGTAAAATGAAATGTAAGAACGCTGTTTTTTAACAAAAGAAATATTAAGAAACTTGGAAACAATTCAAGAATGATCATGTGGCTTACAAATCGACGATTTTTTAATCAATATGAAACGACCCAAAAAACACATTAAAAATAAAAAGAAACGTCAGAAAAGTGACTAACACTGGATTAACTTCAGTTATAAAACATTTATTATATGATAACTAACTTCAGGTTTAAAATGTCAACCTCAATTTGGACATATTTGTAATCTTCATTAAAAATCCTTTAAAATGAGTACAAGCACGACATATTTATCTTCAATATTAATGAAGTTATGATCAACTTCCGGTTAAGAATGTCAACCTCAATTTTGACATATTTGTAACCGTCGTGAAAAATTCTTAATACGTTTAATTCCAATATTACTTGAGATATAAGCAACTTCCGGTTTGAAATGTTAATGTCATTTTGACATATTCTTAATTTTTATAAAATGTCTTAATATTTGTCACGAAAACAAGAATATAATAATAAAAAAAAAAAAGAATTAAGGTTGGTATTAATATTTAAGAATTAAATTGCTATCTTCATTGTTGCTAACTTCGGATTTAATGTTTTTTATTCTAACTTTTTTGTTTTATGAGATAACTGCGTCATCTTTGGACTCATTTTAAAGGTTTTTTAATGAAGATGACAAATATATCAAAATTGACGTTGACGTTTCAAACCGGAAGTGATTGTATTTCCGTTAATATTAAAGTTAAATATGTCGAGTTTGGATTTATTTTAAAGGATTTTTTATGAAATTGTCAAAATGTATGTCAAAATTAAAAGTTGAATGTTCAAATTTTGGTTTTTTGAGATAAATGCGTCAAGTTTGGACTCACTTTAAACGTTATTTTATGAAGATTAGGAATATAATAATAAAATTAAAGTTGACATTGACAACTGAAAGTTTTTTTCACGACTAAATCCGAATGTTTCTAGTTCTCGTTCTAGTTTTAGTTCAATAAAAATATACAACATAGTAATATCTTATGCTAACCAGAACTGTCTATCACTAGTGAGCATCGTCATTGTCATTGTTAATGATAAATTTGTTGGTGACCTTTTGGAGCTTCTATTTTACCATTGCATACAAATATATTGGTAATATTTCTCTAAATTGCTAAATTCAACTCATTAAGTAATAAAAATATGTCAGCCAAATATACAATTTTTGCAATACATTTATTATTTATGTTAAAAAAAATAAATTACTACTTTACCCTTTAAAAGCCACTTTCTTCACATATTAAGATAAAAATACCTACGTGTCTTATCAGTACTATTTTGTTTATTGTTAACTGTTTTCACATTAACTGAGAGTATAATTGATTGAAAATAGTACTACTATTATATAATAGCAAAAAAATTGGCAAAAAGAATATCATATCGGTTCCAAGAATATTACTGATTCACTTTATAAAACAATGGTAGCGAGTAATCTAGGTAGAGCTCTCAAGCACGAATCATGTACTAAGAAAAGCTAACCTAAAAGAAAATTAATTTCATCACAATTTCTAGTTGTGCATTAAAAGGAACCTCCACTCTTTCAAACAACCCATCATTTTGACGAATCATCTAATAACCTTGTCCTATTCGTTGGCGCAAATCTTCCAGATTAGTATCCGCAGGTGTCGCGTAAACTGAACTTTAACAGCCCTATAAACAAACGTCTACGGGAATCTGAAAATCTTGCAGGCCACGCAATGGTGTAATCGTTAACTATTGATAGTAACTCGTGTTGTCATAAATCTCTTTTATCTCGTTAACCCATGTACATTAACACTTTTCAACTTGTCTTCTACCGTAGGGTGTATACTACGGTAGAAATGTATAAATGTTTAAACTAGTGGTGGAACGGATATCCGGCAGCTATCCGGTACCCGGCCTATCCGGCTATTCTTTAAAATCCGAATACAACTTTATTTATATCAGGTTTGTCATTAACAACCTCATTGTAACAATCCCAATACGATATATAAAATCTCTTGTTGCAGTTTCCTCTAATTTTCTTCTCTTCGCTTGTAATTATTATTCATCACATTCATTACTAACAGAACTGTGGCTGTTATCAGTTTCGATTATTAATTAAAGTATCCCCTTTATAATGCAATAGCCGTTTTGAAAAATCGCTTTTAATGATCGACAATTTTCTCGAATTTTGCAATTTTCAATTTCAATTTTTCAACATGTTTTGAAAAATAACATTTAGTTTTTGAAATTTTCGATGTTACAATTTACATCGACAATTTTCAAAATTCGCAATAAAATCCATTTGTTGAAGGATCCTTGTGGAAATATAACCAATTATTAATTAAAATATTCTCTTTTTAATGCAATAAGCCGTTTTGAAAAATCGCTTTTAGTTTTTGAGAAATAAATTTTTGAAATGATCGACAATTTTTTCGAATTTTGCAGTTTTCGCAGATTAAGTTTTAAAAATTCGTATAAAACCCATTTCTTGGAATATGAGTATGAAAGTTTCCCAAAGTGTTAATAAGGGTGTCCTCTTTCCAATGAACCAACACTTTTTGAAAAAAAACCTTTAGTTTTTGAGAAAATAATATTTGAAGTTTTGATAAAATTTTCGATGTTACAATTTTCATCGATAATTTTCAAAATTCGCTATAAAATTAATTCCTTGAAGGATCCTTGTGGGAATATCACTAATTATTAATTAAAGTATCCTCTTTTTAATGCAACAAGTCGTTTTGAGAAAAATCACTTTTAATTCTTGAGAAAAAAATTTTTGAAATAATCGAAAATTATGCCTTTTTTTAAATTTGTCTTTATGGTTTCTTTATCACACGTGGTAGGTGCTTTCCTAATATTTTTAGCAATGTTAACTATGAGAGAGTGGCAATAAACGGTTTTGGCAAAAATATCAATTTGGAATTTACTTTCGATCTTAGATCAATTTTGACCGTCCCATTAACTAACAGATAAATTTTGCCAGCAAAAAGACACCACAATCACCACGCAAATTAGTTGTAGTTTTTAAGTACTGTAACTCCAAAAATCTTTTCTCTATTATTTTATCCATAAGCAAACATTTTGATCTTTTTATATTTCAAATTAGTTGAATTGAAATTTGGAATGAGTTAGACTTAATTTTGAAAATGACTCCACCAGGTTCATTTGGCAATAAATATAGTCAATTTTTCAAACTCAAATCGTTTTGTTATACACTGTATGATCAATAAGAGATTTAACACGATGACATCAAAAGAAAAATTCGTCCCGAATTACAGAAGACAATTCGATTGGCTGCTGTTTAGATCACTTCGTTATTATATTGGGATGACCAATTATCTCACACTTTTTAACGACTTAGTATAGTTCATCGTCAATTAAAGGCGGTAATTACGTAACATCCAAAGATTAGACGTAATTACATCTACAGACATAATCTGTAATAACCGAGCTTATGTACAGTACTAGTCTTTGATTGTTCCTAAAATTAAATCGTTAAATTTGGTGAATTTTGTTTGTAAAGTATTTTTTAATATTTTTATTATTTTTTAATTATTTTGCAACAAATTCTTCCATGTAGTAATAACGATGTGTAATTATTATCGAACAAAAACGGCGATGTTATGATCTTAATGGATCTGCGTGTAATAATTTAAAAACTTTTAGAAAGTCGCAGTGACATCAATTAGTTGTCGTCGTTGAGTCGAAATCTTTTG